AAGTGGACATATGCTGCTTATATAAAACTATCTTTATGTATAAGCTGTGTACAGAAATATAAAGGGATATTATGTTTATGCCTGGATTCCATTCCCAATCTGCTGAATTTTATAGATGCTATATACATGTATTCCAAAATCTGAAAACTGAAGCACTTCCAATTCCAAGAAGTTTGAATAAAGGATTCTCAACTTGTACAGAATTCCTTGTTAGCAGGAATGAATCACAGCAGAATACAGTCTCAAATTGTTCAGTAGGCCAAATTTTTGCATGTTATATAAAACCTTCAACATTCAACCCACCCCGGAATTATCAGCTCCCAATGTTCAACCCACCATAACCTACCCCATGTATACTCTGCCATTATATATGACAACATCATCACAAATATTTTGTTTTCACCATTAACCCTTCAGTAGACTTTTTGAGATTACAAAATTTTCAACTAAGTTAAATATTATACAGGTTCTAAATATTAACTCAGCACTGACTAATGTTGTAAACAAAACATATGTAGCTGTCTCTGTCGAAAGAGAAAAAGATTTTGCCATTACAACAGTATTTCAAATTTTTTCATTAGTTTTTTAATTTTGAAGTAATTTATACAAAATAGCAAAATCAAAGCAGCTAAGCATTGAGGTGAGAGCACAAATTGAAATTTTATTAAAAAAAAGTTACTCTCAAAGACAAATTGTCAATAAGTTTAAGATTTCAAAATAGGAGGTGCAATATTTGTTATAAAGTTGGTTAAAACCAGCAGTAAATGTTGACAGAAAAAAGCTAGGGCACCAAAAGTGACAACTGCTGTTGATGATAAACATTTGATTATTGGAAGCTAAAAAATATAAGGAAAACTACTCCAGAGATGACAACTTAATGCCTTTCAAAAGCAACCAGTGTCACTCTCACTTGAAAAATTGACTTAGATCAGGGGGTGCACAGTCATCAAGAAACCCCTGTTACAGAAGGTGAATAAGCAGAAAGGACTTATGGACAAAAAAAGCATAAGAAGGGGACATTGAAAGAGTGGCAAAATGCATAGTTGGCAGATAATTCACTTGCATCCAGTTTTCAGGAGGCTTGATAAATTTTCCATCACACTTCCTGAAGAATGGGTGAAATTCTTCAAAATTCAGAGTACAGGCAGTCATAAGATAAGTGAGCAGATTTATTTTTATTATCATTGCTCTTTGATATTGAGCACTCAAAGACTGCTTGCTTTAAAAACGTTATCTTCCCTAATTACCCTGGTAGACAGTCTTTTGTCAAAATATATTTATATGATTAAAATGAAAGGTGGTCCACATCTGTGTCTTATAATATATAGATTTAATAATCCAGTTAATAAAATTGGAAGAATTAAAAGCCAGCAAAATGATATTAAATATATTAACCTTTTGACTGAAATGAAGCATGAAGAGATAGAATTTAATGTCAGAATTTTTGAACATGCCTGTGTTCCTTTTCAACAATGTGAGAAATAAACAAAGAAGTGGTACTTACTCTTGTTGGTTGGAGGTCTCCCTGTGTAAATTTTTCTCTCTGAGTAAATCCAAACACCTGTTTAATCCCTTCATGTTTGAATTTATTTTGAAAATAAATTTCAACTCTGATCTATGCCTTTCTTCTCAACTGTTGGATGAAGATGCTGAAAGCTTGCGTTATGAAATGGTTGGTTGAAGTGTACTGTAGACATATTATCACTAATAACAGTTTCACACTTCCTTGCACTCACATAGTAGTCAAACCACCGGCTCTGAATTGTGATAGCTCAAATCTCATATATCTGCTTTTCTGTCGCAAGTACAAACAAAGAAATTATGTTGAAAAGACGAGAACAGAATTCCAACTGCAGTTTAATAACCATAAGAAAACCATCAGGGATAACAACAGCAACAACAATTTTTTCCTATCTCAGTACAATTCAACCAACCATTTCATAGTGCTGATGATATCAGATGCATGTTTTTAGCATCTCCATTCAACAGCCGAGAAGAAAGGCACGGATTGGAGTTTAAATTTATTTTCAAAATAAATTCAAACATGGATATATGTTTCCTATTTGTTCTTTTAACAATCATCTACCATTATTTTATTTCAAAAGCCTGTATATATAGATAGAGAAACATACAAGGTACAAGGGATAAATTGTGTAAATTACACAAAAATGAAAATAACACTGAGGTTTCATTTTAACAGTTCATCTTTAGTGTTACATGGGGTTTTGTTGGTCTCTCACTCAACTGTGCCTCACACAATAATCAAGTGGCTTACAGTCTGGGGTGATAGGTAAGTTGTGATGTAGTTGCAGAAACTGTCTGACAGTTATGACTGGGTTCTCCTGTGGCATGGTGCAGAGTCCTGTTGCTAGAGATAGGGTTGTTCAGCAGCCACATTCTTGATCCAGGGCAGCACTACCTCCTCAAGGCACTTGACATAGGCCTCTATGTTGAATCTAAGGCCCTGTGGGATGTTGAATGTAGATATAATGTTACCATCACTAGTGACCAATCTAAACACCATGATGTTGACTGGATATTTGTTTTTATCACACTCATCAACATCCTTTGCACTGTCCTCAGACAGACACCCAAATACTCTGAAATGTTTGTATTGGAGCTTCCGGCATGAATGCCAAGCAGTACAGCATGCCATTTTCAAATTTCTTGTAGAGTGAATTGCGTCATAGTAATCTTTTTCAAATAGAGGGTGCCCAACTGACCCTACTATATTGTGCAGTCAACAAAATCAAAAACAAAAAAAAAACGCGTATGCGCAAAATTAAAAATATAAAATGGCGACAATTTACCCATCGCGCCATATATATATATATATATATATATATATATATAATTTTTACATACGGACAAAAACAACTTGCTCACTACAAAGATGCATTCTTGTTTCGATGCGTCTGCATCTCGACTGGTGAGAACCAAAAATGCTTATGAACAATCTTTTTCGTATGTAAAAATTATAATAAATAATTATTGCTCTACTCTTGATATTCACTTGTCAGGGTTATAATAGCACCTCATGCGAGAAACTCAGGTGGAAATTATGGTCATATATATATATATATATATATATATATATATATATAATTTTATTATATAGACAGAAAGAGTTTACTCACTACAAAGATGCAACTTCGTTTCGATGCATAACCATTTTTGGTTCTCACCAGTCGAGGTGTAATTCAATTGCACCGAAACGAAGTTGCCTTTTTGTAGTGAGTAAACTTTTTTTGTCTATATGATAAAATTATAATATATATATTATAAATTTATCATATAGACAAAAACAGTTTACTCACTACAAAGATCTATATGATAAAATTATAATATATATATATATATATATATATATATTATAAATTTATCATATAGACAAAAACAGTTTACTCACTAGAAAGATGCAACTTCGTTTCGGTGCAGTTCAACTGCACCGCGACGGGTGAGAACCGAAAATGGTTATGAACAATTCTGCTTGTAGGCAAGTCGTATGTGAAACGTCACTTTCTTTTTTCCCTTTGAGAAAAAAATATATACATAAAGCAAAAATGTGACGGAGTGAAACAATAGTGCTTGTTGATAGCAGTTTGGTAAAGGATGGATGTGGTGTTGAATGTTGGCTAGTCTGGGAAGATTCCTTGCTGATAACTACGGTCAAAAGTTTAGGCACATCATCTCACAAGCGTCCTAAGAGTGAGAGGTCGGGGAGGAAAGGTGCGAATAGGAGATAGTAATAAGATGGAAGAGGTAGAACGGATAAATTCTAACGATAGTTATGATAGTAATTGGGGGAATGCTTTTTTGGCTTTACTATAAAAAATCCAGCTAAAGCTGAATTGCATATATTTATGTTGAAGTTATCACTACTAATTCTGTAATCAATGAATGTGTTTTGTAAATTAATAAATTTAGAAGTGGTGATTTCTTCTTGGTATGTTGGATATATAAGTTATTCGGGTTTAAAAAAAGATTTGGGATATTAATATAACTTTTATAATCAAATTTTGACATATTCTCAGACAGTATAGCGTGTGGAATATGTATGGGTGTAAAACAATTTATCTGAAAGTATTACTAGTAATATATATGCAAAAATATATGTATATATATCAAGAATCATAATCTAAGATATATTGGTGTAGAGGTACATAAAAGTGTAGGAAAATATATCAAAGGAGGTGAGTTATAATTTTAAACGTTAAGAGTTATGGAATTAAGAATTTAGCAAGATTGTAATGTTACATCCTTAATATGTCTACAAAAAATGGCGGTTTCATATCTTTGGTTTAATAATTAGGTGTTGTTTAAAAGTTCAATGGTACGTGTTTTCTCCTGCAAACATAAAAACAAGGTTCGTTCTGCCTTGTCTTAGGATTTTCCATTTAACCTTAGGTGCTTTTCATTCCTCCTTCAATTTCCAAAAATATTTCAAAAGTGATGCCATATTGCGTTTATAAAGGAGTTTATGTGATTGTAATATCTATCCTTAAAAAGTCTGCTAGTTGATTCCACACACAGCTTAATATCTATGGGGTTCTCATTTGATGAGATATATATCACATATACACTATGGATTTCGTTAAGGACCTGTTTAAATAATGGACATTGATCGGGGATTCTGCAATTACATAGCTCTTTTTCCTGGGGTGAATCTGTGTTTGGACTGCGTTTATTATCGTTATGGAGTTTCCGTATTCTATTGTTGTGTGATTTAATAATTTTATCTAGATTTCTAGAAGAGCTATAACTAATTTTTAATGTATTGCAGTTGAAGATTTGACTTAATTTACTCTTCGTAGGAAAGTGCTTGTTAATTAGATTTAAGAATTTGTGTCCTTGGGGGTTACTGTCCACAACATTATTATTATCGTCACAACATCACGCCCATTCAGTTGTACATTTTGTGTGCCATTGTAAGTGCTGCTGTTGGGTGAGTTGTAATAAAATTTCAACTCTGAAACTAGGTTTATTTTGAACTAAAACAGCTGGCGCATTTCTGGGTTTCTCTCTCTCTCTCTCTCTCTCTCTCTCTCCCTCTCCTTCTCTCTCTCCCTCTGTCTCTCTCTCGTACATTAATATTCTATAACCTAATGATAAGGAATGTATTTATTTTACACAAATGTTTATTTTTCAACACAGCCTTGTCAATATCTTGAATTCGATGATGAATGTTAATCATGGAGATTAAACAGTGAAATTTGCAGATAAAAATTTAGTTAATAACTGTAACTCAAGAGGTCCTCAAATCAATCCCAGGTGTCACCATTGTAGGGATGAGTGCATCGACAGTAATATCAGCAAACAAGGTTTCAATTCCTGCCTTGACTGTGGCATTCACTTTTGCCCAAATTCTCTTGAAAAACAGGAATTCGTCTATTGTCCCCACAGCTATGGATTAAGCAGTAGGGTAAAATAGGCTATCTAGTCTAAAACAGATAATGAAGTGAAGTGAATGTATGTGTAGGGTGATGATTGCCTACATCGTGAATGAATATTGCATTAAAAACATTCCTGTGTCTGGTTACGGACTTATTGATCCAGGTGTGCATATATATACATACAAGTATAGTATATGTATATATTTTAAGACATTTTTATGTTTAATATTCTTTTTATAGATACAAATATTTAATTAAATGCTCTGTTTATAATAAACAGTATTAAACAACATTTACCGGCCTGAATGTCCGAGAAATTTTCACAGAAAATATTCGTTCTCCGACAGGATTCGAACCTGTATCCTATACGGAACCGTCATTTAGCTTGACGTGCCTTTACCGATTTGGCTACGAAGGAGCGTTCGGTTAGCAAGGTCGAATTTATTTAATGTATTTAAACTTCAATAAAGGTAATGTTAAACATAAAAATGTCTTAAAATAATTGTCGGACTTTGTCCATTTCATAATATATATATATATATATATATATATACACTCATCTTTAGATGACCACAACAATTTTTTGTCCTTCACAACCATGAATACTAAATACTTACTCTATATTTAACAATACTCTGATGATGACATTATGCTATGTCGAAAGTACTCGGAATGAATACAATATGAGCTAATACGGTGTTTTCCTCTCGTTTTTTTAATAACCTCACCAAAAGTTTATTCACAAATATGGATCTTAGCGAAAATAAGTAAACAGATTGTGTTTAAATTATTTAACAAAACTTGTCTAAATATATATATATATATATAGATAGATAGATAGATAGATAGATAGATAGATAAACCTAGTGAGCCAGACAAACCTACCTAGGTTTCACCTAAACGGATCGTCAGGGAAAGCCGGCTAAAGAGACAAAGGGAAACGCATATTTATAGGCGATAGCCAAAATTATACCATGTGACCAAAGAAACACACAAACACAAAACCACCTAGGCGGTGGGGGGTTAAAGATTTATTCAACTAAAAATGGAGGGGATATTAAAATACGAACATTAAGGTGGACTAACAAATAAACGGGGAAATTTGTCTTAACTTAGTAACCAAGATTTTTTATGCCTACATAAGAACTTCGGTTTTGGAGTTTAATAGCTGGTTAGGTTGATTATATAAAGCTATGGCTAATTTCTCCTCTGTACATAATTTACAAAAGTTTTGGCCTGCTTTATATTTGGGGCATTTTTTTAATATATATATATATATATGATCAACTCTCTTTGGCATATGAGTGTCCAACAATTCTGCCCCTAAACTGGAATTGTTAGATTAATTGCACATATGATTTGATCATAGTAGTGAAGTCTTGTGCAAAACAATCTGAACTTTTTGGAAGAACTGAATACAAGGGAATGGTGCACATAATGTGTCACTTGCTCCCTCAAAAGCGCCTTTCAGGTTTTTAATACAAAGGTGTCCTTCTCCTAGAATGGTTGCCAATCAAAACTAAAGAGCTTAGTTTGCCTATTTAACACATAGATGGGAATAGAAAAGATGATTTATACCTTTCTCAAGTAATGTAAACTCAACTGAATTTGAACTTGGCTCTCTGATTTCCCATTCCGAGACACTATTCCATTACACCATACCCATATATATATATATATATATATATATATATATATATATATATATATATATATATATATATATATATATATATATATATACAATATATATATATATATGACAATAGGAAAAGTGTAGTTATTGGACGCGTTTTCCCAATGTGGACTTTCTCCCAAAGTCCACATTGGACGAAACGCATCAGCAATAACTACACTTTTTCCTATTGTCATTTATATTTATAAATATTGTCTTTTCTACAGGTTAACTCTGAGAAATTATAACATATGCATGTTATAACATATTTATATATATATATCCATTAATTTGGTATACGTAAGGTTTAAAATGAATTTTTAAAAATGAAAAATCTTTTTTGAATCTTTCATTTTAGCTTTAATTGAAAGCCAAAGGATTTTAAAGTTACTATTTCCAGAAAGTAAAATACTCTGTCATGTATTTCAAATAGAAATTATATTGGTCGGAATTGATTTTTTTTTTCAGTGAAATCGATAAAAATCGGCGATTTTTGGGACATTTGTAAGCAAAAGTTTATTCTCGGTTTTAAAAATCTTGCAATAATAAAATATATATTTCTGAAACTTTATTTGAGGAAAATTAGCAAATTTAAATTTAAATTTATCTGATTTGAAACAAATATTACTTACTTATAGCATAAAGTATTGTATACAATCATTTCTTAACTTAAAACTTTCTTGTTTTTCTGACATGTTAATTGATTTATTGATAGCCGAACGTGCTCATAGTTAAGTATGGTGGATCAGACGATAAAGTTTACAAGGTGAAACAATTCTTAAAACACATGTCCTTTTAATGATAGATATATCGGTCTGTACATCCACACTTCAGAAATTCTGCACGTAAATATTCATACGAAAACAAATCGAAATTCTTTTTAAAATATTCGGAGTCGTCAGATTGTAATAAGCTTCATAATATATGATTAGTAAATATAGTTTTACTTAATAACAATATTTCTTAAGAATTTTCACGTTGAAAATGAATTTTAAAATATTTAAAAACTTTATAAATTATTCAATTTAAAATTGTAAAACGGGAAAACAAATCTTGTAAAAATTCGTTTTTCGTGGAAAAAAGTTTTTTTCTTCAAACATGAGTGTCTTTAATATATATTATTCATAAAAGTAATTAAAAGATTCTCTAATTAAATAATGTCTTAGCTTTATTGTGTCTTTATTTTCCGATTCAGAACAGAATTTCGGTAAGACGGGGTCCAATTTTGCAAAGAAATTCGGGAATTTAAATTTTTCAAAGAATCCTGCCCTGCTTTAAAATAATAAAGTCACTAAAAATGACCACATTGAATTTCTCAAGATTTCATAAAATCAAGTAATCATGTAAAAAATATTTTAACAAGATTTTCTTAAAAAAAAAAAAACAAATTTGAAAAATAATTTAATTCATTTGTGAATAAGTCCTGAAAATGTCATTAAAATCTGACAATTATTTGATTTTTGCAAGAATTCCCAAATTAACTTGTCAGTCATAGCAAAAAGAAGCTAAAATTCGCTATGCTAAAAGCTAAACGTTAGTACAACCGCTGATGCAAGAAAAAAGATGTTTTAATGAAAATTTTGAATGTTCCAAAACCAAAAAAGTGTGAAAAATTTAATTAAATAATCAAAAAAAAATAAAAAATAAATAAATACTTTGATCCTTCGTCTTAATAATAACATAAGCGGGAAGCCACTAGCACGCGAGGGGTTACAGAGAGTTGGCGCGGGAGCAAAGAGGGGTGATAGAGGAAAGGATGAAGAGAAGGTTATGGGATAGATCAAGGCATCTGGAGACGTCGATTGACATTACATTTGAAAAGTTGGAGATTATAGCTATCAGGGAAAAAAGAAAAGGGGAGAGAGTTCCACAGGCGAGAGGTGCGAGACATGAAGCTATTGGAGAGAAGAGAAAAAAACATTTAAAAGTTTCGACAGTGAAAACTGAGAGCGAGATGCCAGCCTAGTTGAACGCTTAAATTCATGAAATCTGGGAACCAGCGAAAGCAGCTCATCGGAGCGTAAGAGTATTTGTAAAAAAGATAGAGGCAGGCGACGGCACGTCTGTGAGAGAGCGACTGCAGACGAGATGCCAGATCAGGGCCAATTACATTGCATATCCGTCTCTGGATTTTATCAAGGACCTTATATATACGTTATTTTTAATAGATACAATTTATTTAAGTAAATGCTCTGTTTTTAGGGTTTTTTTTTTTAATAAACAGTATTACATTTACCAGTCTGAATGTTCGAGAAATTTCGTAGAAAATATGCGTTCTCTAACAGGAATCGAACCTGTGTCCTCTATACGGAATCGTCATTTGATCTGACGTGCTATAGAGAAGTGTCTGACGATATTTACTTTCTCGAACGATCATATCTGTCCACGAAACGTACTTTAAAGTAAACGTTTACAGCATATTATGAAATGAATTTAAGTCCGATAATTACTTCATATATTTTCTGTTTATACATTATTTTAAAATTTAATAGATACAATTTAATCCAGACTGAAGATAAGAGAGATAGAGGAAATCAATACAGTCACTTTCTCACTGAATGTAACTTTCCTATGTCTTTCTTTATTCTTGTGAACTTTCCTCTATGATATCTTATTGCGATTAAATCCACAGATTTAATCGCAGTACTAGATTAGCGACAATGTATCATCATTTTACAATTGAAATGACTAGACATATCTGTAAATTCTATGCTAACAGTTTTTTCTTCTGTCACACTTTTCACTTGTGGAACTCTCTTCTGTCTTCTTGCTTCCCAGTCAACTTTGATCTTGAAAAATTTAAATTAAATACAATGTCAGTCATTATCTTCTGTGTTTTGTTTTCTTATTCTTTTATTGTCCTTTTCCCTTAATAGTAGTTTTATCCCATATCCTCTAACACTCAGTAACCTCTTGCGTCCTAATGGCTTTATTGTCTTGCTTGGGATGAAATTGTTACATTGAACTTAGTGTTTGATTATTATATAGATCTTATTATTATTTATACATAATCTGAAGAAAAA